TATATATAGTCAGTTAACTGAAAATCTCTTTTTTCTTTTACTACCTCTTATTAATATTTTGCGATGTTGACCCTGTGCTAACTTGCATATGACAAATAAAACTGAAAACAAATAAAAATGAAAACTAAACATATAAATAAATCCACGGTTGTTTTACATTAGTAATTTCTTTTGTGCATAATTTTATATTGTTGTTGATAATAAATTAATTAAACCAACAAAACAACCTGAAGGGGGAGCCAAAAGAGCCGGTTCTCCAAAAAGAGCCGGAATTCCCATCACTAGTACACAGTTCTTCTGCCATCGGCTTTGTCTGCTGGTTTGAAGATGGGTCAAAAAGATGATTTAGTCACTTTGTCTGCATCATGCAGCTCGAATGTGTCGTGTAACGATGTTGAATAGCTGTCGTTATCCCTCTGCTGTGTCAGTAGGATTGTACTGTACAGCATCTCATTGATATGTGAGGAATGCTTATGTAACACGATAACAGATGTCTTGTCTTACATCATTAAAATATAAATGTCAGGAGATATTTATATATATATTTTTATATTTATATTATATTTTGTAGCTGATATAATTTACTAAATAGCTGGATGAACATGAAAAATATGTCCATCAATCCAAATGGTCATGAGCGTCACTAGAATAAATTCTATTAGACTCTCAAAAGATGTCCTTAAATGTCCTTTAAGTGGCAGAACAAATGAGCAAGCAGTTAATCGCTTACTTGAGATGAAATCTGCTCAGCTACTTTCAAAATAGCTTCTGAAATTCGTGGACATGAAACACATTGTGTACCTTCATGTTGTGGGGAAGGGCCAGCTGGACAGTCACTGGGTTCAGAATGGCCTGCACTGAAAAAGGTCCAAGGCACCGAGGAGTCAGCTTCTTAGACTCGGTTCATAGGGGAATGTTCCTGGAAGAGAGCCCACCCGATAGATTGGTGTCCGAATGCGATGGCAGTCAGGCAGTCTCCTGTTTTGAGCATTCGTTCTAAAGAGGGCCGCCCTAGTAGCGCGTCAGACTCGCTGACAGTGTCTCATATGGTGTTGGACAGAGGGAACTGCTACCTCCCCTTCCGTGATCGAGAGGAGCAGCCTTTGAAAAACAGTCAGTGATGGTGATTATCACTGTATGGGTACCGGTATCTGGTGCCATTATGACATAAACGGTAGTAACCAGACCGAAAAGCAGCGCACATTTCGGTGCTTTATTTCGGTGCTTTTTTTTCCTGAGATGTCATACACTTTGGATTCTAGCCAATCATTTTACGTTTCTGAGGATAGTAGGCGGGCCCACGTACGTACGTTCTTTTAGAGCAGAGCTACAGATTAAAAATGCCCAAGGCGAAGTGGTTAAAAGTCTGGCTGTACTTCACAGCAAAAGATGCAAACTCAGCAGCCTGCAACAAGTGCTTTAAGGTGATACTGTGCAAAAGAGGTAACACTCGAATCTGATGAAACACCTGGCGACGCATAAAAGCCGAGAAATCACCGTATTTGATAGCTTGCTGCGAGACCTCACACCGAGCACATCTACTGCGGGTGTGGTGCCTGTTATCGGACCCGGATTTATCAACATCCCCCAAAAACCCGAAGAGGAGAGTCCTGGCCCCTAGCCCTGCCAGTGTAGCAGAAATGATGAAGGATGATGATGCAGCAGCAGCCGTTCTTCTCTGCGTGAAGGAACCTTTTAAATACAAGCGCGCTCATGCTCACAGGTGTACACACAGGTGTTCACACACACAAACTACACCCTTTTTGGCTCCTACCTCAAAGCACATTGTGTGCTGTAAATCTTACGTGCTGCACAATAATATTCAATATTTAATATTTACTGCTATATACACAGTGTCGCGATGGTGTTGTGTTTGTTATATTGCTGCTTTTGTTTGCTTGTTTGTTTGTATAAAAATATGTTTTTTGGGGTCCCCCCCC